CATATCATTACGGATTTACTAATTCTCTTTTAATTATACTTTTAATTAACTTAATAAAACCATAAGGGTGTAATTTGAACTTTTCAAAAACTAGGGTTTTAGAATTTAACATTTTAAAATTAAACTTTTAATCAAAATTTAAATTCCAAAACTTGAGGGCAAGTTTTGAAACTTTTCAAAAAAATTAGGTTTAGAAATTTTCGAAAAATTAAAACCTTTTAATCTTAAATATTAAAATTTGATATAATAATTATCCAAAATTAAACAATTAATTTGAATTATTAAATCTTGGAGGATATCTATTAAATTAAACAATTAATTTAACCTAATCCATTAAATCCCCTAAAATTCGAAATTATGGGATGGGATAATTCAAAATCTTTAATTACCAAATTTAAACACTTAAAAGATAATTACAAGATATGGCATTACCCAAATCCCTAAAAATTAGGATCTAATCTTGGGGAGGAGGCCAATTTCGAAATCCTAGGGTTGGATAACCCTAGAATTCGAAATCTTGGAGGCTAAGGAAAGGATTTGCGAAACCCTAACCAAATTTCGAAATTTAGGGTTTATGAACCCTAATTTCGAAAATCATGCCTTTAGGGTTTATTGGCTATAAACCCTAATATGTCAAATTCATACTTTTGTATAGAATCTAATTGAAAACAAAAACTAATGGCTCTGATACCACTGATGGGTTTTATACAAACAATCCTATGTGTGCATGCAACCCTAGAGTTGGATCTATGTTATCACTATTAGTTATACAACATTATGAACACATAAGGAAACCTAGCATGCTCCTAGTAATTTCGAAATTCACATAGGAGAATAGAATACATACCTTTTGTTGTTATATAGTAATAACAACTAATTCCTTGAGTTTCCTTAGCTTTCGAAAGCATGTACCACAAGTGTAGTACCTCTAATGGCTCACAAACACACTTTAGGTGAGAGGATGAATATGAGAGAGAGGAGGAAAAGTACTAAGCTCCAAAATTCGTCCCTACTAGGGTTTTCCCAAGGAGTGGTCGAATTCTAGTGCCTTAGGGTGTTATTTATACTTGAGGCTAGCTAGGGTTTCAAGGTGGAAACCTTAATCCCTTAGCTTAGGGCCTAAGCAAGTCCATGGACTCCTTTCCTTAAGCCCTTGGACGAAAACTCCTAGATACTTCTAGGATTTTCCTTCAAGCCTTAATAAAGGTGATCCAATAGCCCAAAGTCTCAACTATCAAATAATTACAAAACAGCCCCTGTACTTTTAATTAATTCCTATAATCCCGAAATTCATTCCTAATTAATTTCTGATTAAATACTAATTAATAATATGATTCCAAATTAATATATTATTCATATAATATATTAACAAATCATATTTATACCCCAATTTATTATTCCTAACAATAAACCAGCCTCTCTCCTTAACAGTCATCCTGTCTAGTCACCAGTGTGAAGGCAACCCAAAAGGACCATGTTCACAATCGGGTCAAGTACATACCAAAATAGTTATGGACTTAGACACTAATCCAACAGAAGTGTCGTCGGCATAGGGTTTAGTTATAACAAAGAGGGATCTGAGTTCATTTTGCAGTCGATTCCTTTCTGTTTTCTTTCTCGTGATGTCGGCGTTGCAGACCATCCTCTAGCCACTCCCCTTCATCGGCGACTAAAAGGTATGATACTTGGTCCTTGTTTTCTTCTTAATTTGTGATAGCTTGAGTTTTAACTCCGATGTTGGGGGATTTTTTTCCAATTGTTGGAGTCCCTAATTCACAGCCTTCGCCATTGTCGAAGTATCCTCTGACAACAGCCTTCACCACCGCCGAAGAAACTTATTTATGGTGATTCGGCTACCTTCACCACCAATTTTGAGGTAAGTTTTTGATTTTATTTTTCATTTTTTTGGCATGAAAGTGTGTTTATGCAACCTACTGTATAATTGATTTATGTTTATGCTCACTGTGGTGTATTGGCATGAAAATGAAATTAGGCATGATTTGTTTGATTTTGTATTTAGATGTATACATTTGTATGAAATTGAAATTAGATGTCTAAAACGTTAGCTGTTATAAGGTATGATTGTATGAAATTGGATGTATTGCTTAATTGTTTGAAATTGAAATTTGAATTGGATGTAATGTATGCTTAATTGTATGAAATTGGAATATGAAAGTGGTATTGTATGTCTAAACTGAAATGAAAAATTAGAATTGAATGTATTGTATACATATATGATTATGTGATATTTAGGTTTAATAGTTTGAGTGTATTTAAGATGAAGTGACAAAGTTCTTAATTGATAAGTTATAGTTTTTGTATTTAGATGCTATTCTTTGTATTGTAAAGTGCTTAATTGATAAGTTAAAGTGTTTGATAAGTTAAAGTGTTTGTATTTACATGTATGATTGTATTATATGTTTATTATGTTTTTATTTTCTTGTTAATACCGTTTCAAAGTGCTTAATTTTGGTAGTGACTTAATGTTGGTCATTACGACCTTAGCTTAATTAGGTTATTAATAGCTACGTACTTTTAGTAATTTTAAATTAATTATAAAATAAAGTTAAATTAATTTTAAAAAAATCAATAACGAAAAAGAAAATATTAAGTTAATGGTAAAATCAAAATAAATTAGTTTTAAAATCAAATTAATATTAATATTAAAATCAAACTAAATTAATTATAAAATCAAATTAAAAAATTTTAAAAAAACTATTAACAAAAAAGAAAAAAATATATAAAATCCGATTAAATTAATTGTAAAAAAAATTAAATTAATTATAACATCAAATTAATATAATTATTCAAATATAATAAAATAAATTATAAAATCAAATTAATATTAAAACTATAACAAAATCAAATTAAATTAATTTAAAAAAACTAATAACAAAAAATAAAATATTAAATTAATTATAAAATGAAATTAAGTATAAAATAAAATTAAATTAATTATAAAATCAAATTAATATTAATATTAAAATAAAATAAAATTAATTATAAAATCAAATTAAATTAATTTAAAAAACTAATAAAAAAAGAAAATATTAAATTAATTAAAAAATCAAATTAAGTTAATTTTATAATCAAATTAAATTAATTATAAAATCAAATTAAACGGTATATTTTTTAAACCATAATATTATGTAATATAATATTAAAAGTATGATGCTATAAAAGAAAATAAACTAAAGTATGATGTTATAATTAACACAATTATGATACTTTTGTTAATTACAACATTATACTTTTGGAACCCTAGGTAGTGGCGTACTATGAAAATCGGTGATATCACCTTCTAGGAGCATGCTTGAGGTTTTATAAGGATTTTTGAGTACGGAAGACGTGACCCCGAATTGGGATCATAGAAACCCTGTGGTTGATGCATGTATACTGTCCTAAAGGTGACCGTGAGAAAAGTCAATTTTTGCATGGTTTAAAATAAGCTGATAAATAGACCGGTATCAATAGATAATATTTTGAGGGTTATACGGATAATGTCCCATATGAAAATGGTGTTGAATATCTCATCACAATCAATTCTTCGGTTTTGGAAGCGACTGTTGGCTACAAGGTTGCCATTATAAAGAGAGATACCTACATTGAAACTATGATGAAAGAGCCACATGTAGCATACAATATTAACCCATTGGAGTCGTCATACAAGAGTCCATGTCCTATTCAAGATACGAACATGGTACTCATCATGTATAGCATGTCGCCGGTTGAGGTCCCGAATATCTTATATGTGGGATTAGGAGATAGGTTACATAGTTGAGGTCATGAATATCTTGTAGGTGGGATCGGGGGTTAGGATACATAGATGACATGAGGATATTGAGGCGTTGTAATGGTTTAACAAGCCCTTCCTGGTTGTGTTGTTCGAACTTAACTATTCATGATCTGTAAAATCGAGTTTTAACTAGTCCTTCCTAATCCTTAAATATTGTTAATATTGAAGTTTACTTTCATTCAAAGAATTCAGTATATGCATATATCTTTATTTTGTTTTAGATTTTCATTATTTAAATAAATAATATGTCACTTGATTCTTGTATATTGGTTTTTAGCATAATTCGATTCTTATATATAAACATACTATTTCGAAGGTCACAGTTCAACATCAATTAGTATTAGTCAAGAACCAAAGATGGGCTACGTTACTGAAACATTCGCTACACGCTTTGCTCGTGACGGATTGGCAACCGGTGATGTCAGGGATTGGTTTGTGTGTGTGTGGTTGAAGGGTTTCCGAGCTAGTTTTGGATAGTTTTGCAATGGACTTCCGTTGCTATTTTGTATGCTTTTTTCTCTATGGAACCATTATATTATAGATAAGACAGGTTTTTCTCTAGTGTCAATTATAAGAGACAAACCATGTTTCAAAATCAACCATAGCAATATATAGGAATGAACAGAAATCTCAAAAAATCCAAAATACACATTCCAATCAATACTTTAGAAGCATAAAATCCAATTTTAGAAGTTTTAAATTAAAAGTTATACATATCATAGTAGTTTGAATGAAAATGACGATTGATTGTTTTTGTTACGAGGCATGAATTCGTAGAATTCCTACATAGTTATCCATATCAGCGTGGTTTGAATGATAATGGTGATTGACTAATTGATTCGGTCAAGAAGCATGACTTCCTATTTAAGTACACATATCCGTTGTTCCATCCTATAGAAATTAGAAGGGCCCCTTTCATAAAATGAACTACATTATCATACTCTCAGTGGTAATAAAGTGATGTGATCAGCTATTTATAAATATGGTACTGAAGATTAGAATGTGGAAATGACCGTTTATATCCGGTAAGCTTTGTAAATGTTCATTCATATTTGCACAGCTAATTAATCAATTTACAAAAATATGGATATGGTGGATTTAACTCCATGAATCAAGACCTCTCATTTTCGACCTTATGCTGGTGAAATTTACAATGTCGCAAGCTGTTTTTCTTTCATGGACATTATATTCTTCCCGGCCAGTTTTAATTTCCAGGGACGAAGTTGGTGGCATAAGCCCATGCGTTGTTGGTAACTGGATCGGCAATGTGGTCTGCAAGGTTTTCTAATGGACCTTTTCCAGTGACTATGGCTTGAACAAAGAACCCAAACATTGAAAACATATCTAATCTTCCGTTCTTAATCTCCTTCACCTTCAACTCTGCAAAAGCCTCCGGATCTTCAGCTAATCCCAGCGGGTCAAAGCTTCCTCCAGGGTACAATGGGTCAACTATCTCCCCAAGAGGCCCACCTGCAACTCTATAACCTTCAGCAGCACCCATCAAGATCACTTGTGTAGCCCAAATTGCGAGTATGCTCTGTGCGTGGACCAAGTTGGGGTTGCCCAGATAGTCAAGCCCACCCTCACTAAAGATTTGGGATCCTGCCTTGAACCACACAGCTTCACTGAACTTGACGCCATTGCGGGCTAGAAGCTCCGGGAAAACACGTCCCAAAGCTCCTAGCATGGCCCACCTACAATGGATGACCTCAAGCTCACGGTTCTTGGCAAAAGTCTCAGGATCTGCTGAGAGCCCGGCTGTGTCCCACCCGTAGTCTCCAGGGAATTCTCCGGTTAGATATGATGGAGCCTCACCCGAGAATGGCCCCAAGTACTTCACTCTGTCAGGTCCGTACCATGGGCTTCCTGATGAAGCGGTCTTGGGCTTTGTTGCTGTCTTTCTCATTGTCACCCTTCCATCACCAGAAAACTCTGAGGTAGATGGAGCAACCTTGATTGCTTGCCCGGCAAATGAAGGAGATGAGAGAGCCATTGTTGAAGCAGCCATGTATTTATGAACAAAAGATTGAGATGTATTTGTGTAGTTGAGCAAATGAGAAGAAGAGTTGGTGTAGGAATTGGGAAGTTAGTGTAGTGTTATATAGGTTATGTATGGATATGGAGACGTGGGTATAATATCCATATTATCTCTGTTATTTGTCAAGCTTAGTTTCAAGATTTCAGTTTTGGCGGTATCTATTTCTATCAATCAAGCCTCATGCAGCCATGCCATGCCATACTAAGCCAATAAGAAATGTGGTTCAGATTTCAACAAATTTGGTTCACAAATTTCCTTCCAGAGTTATTAATATTTGGAGCATATATTTATTTTTGTAAATCTTACTTTTAATATCCAACTCCACATCTTTCGTATATGAGAGTGTCATTTTCTTTTAGCATTTTTCCAACAATAACTTGTTTTCAAATTTTAACTCAAAATATTTTTATTTTACAATATTTTTATTCAAAAATGTGATATATACGTAATGTCACACCCCAAAACCAGAACGACGGAATCATTCGGGGGTGGAGGACGGCGGAATCGTTCGGGGGTGGAGGACGTCATGTACAGTATCACAACAATGCATAATAGTAAACAAGCAACAACATCATCCCTTGCATTAATAATATAATTTTTAATACAAGTGTGTTCTATCAAGTTTAATAGATACCAAAAATATGAATCAAAATAAAAGATGAGTCTTGAATGAGCTCCATCTTCTCAAAACCTGGCACTGGTACCTTCTACTGGTGACCTGAGAATACAAGTATTTTGAAAGAGTTTATCAGCTTTAAAGCTGGTGAGATCATAAGTATTTTAGTGTCATTGCTTGTATGAAAGTGTTTGTAAGTACTTGATGTATAAGTGTGTAAATGTTTGTAATTGTTTGTAAATGTTTGAACTCTCCTAGAAAACCCTATATTTTCTACTAAAAGTAGTCTTCTACCAAGGCATCAAATGTTTGTATGTCTGTTTCTTGTAAGAGTATGTATTTTCCCAAATCTGACTATCATTAACCAAAAATATATGTTTTACTACATTCATTTGTCAGATTGTGAAGATCAAAAGTGAATGCAATGGGGAAATAAAATAGTGTTGTAGTGTTGTATTAAGTAACTACTGATGCACTAACTACCTTAAACCAATTGTTATTTAAAGTACCATGTGATATGCCTGTACCATACTACCGACTAAAAACACGACGATGAAAGACGTCGGAAGAAATGACATTTGGCACCCATAGACTTGCAAGTCCCACTGTAGCGAGCAGCAAGGTGTAGGATAGTTCAATCCAGTATAGATCTATACACAAACTCAACGCTCTCCCACTTAAGGAGATTCTGGATACAAAACGAGCCATGACAGGTGAAGGCCATGCCCCGTAAGTGGCTCACATAACTGTTTAGTGTTCTTGTATATGTATTGTGTGTACTAGCTGTATTGTATGTCTCTCTATGTCTAGTATGTATGTATGTTCTCTCTGTTTCTCATAATAGTATGTTCTCTTGTATAATGTATAGTATGTACTAGCTGTATTGTATGTTCTCTCTCTGTCTAGTATGTTATGTTTGTTTCTCATCACTATATGTTATGACTCATGTATGAACTGACTCATTGTATGTTTCATTGTTCTAGAAATAGTATTAGTAACTTCCTAAACTATACCTATTATAGTTTACTAGTAATGTTGTTTGTATGTATGAACATGTTTGTATACCTTTGCTACCGAAAGGTATTGAATTTGAAAGAAGGAACTTTTATATCTATTTACATATACATAATATATAACTAGGATTCAAACGACCTTCAGACAAACAACCGATACCCTAAGTCCACAACCAAACAAGGAACAGGAGGTAAGGTGAGCTATCAGTCCTAAGTCCTTTCAATCCTACTTATATAACTATATCTATATAGATACAAATTTAACAAAATATAAGTTTAAAAGAGTTTAATAAAAGTATTTAACATGTAAAAGAGTTTGTAAAACAGTTTGAAGTAGTTTGTTTGATAACATAGTTTGAAAAGTAAGAAATCCACTTGTTTGGTAGTTATTAATTGTCACACCCCCAAACCAAGGATGGCGGAAACGTCCGGGGGTGGAGGACTTCATGTATAGTATCACAACAACGAGTATAATAGTGCTCAAAGTAAATACAACCATCATAAATATAATTGAAAAGATTACACCATAGAATAAGTTTACATGTTTCGAAATCAATTACATTATGATGACAAAATGAACTATTTGACGATTTATCGTCCCATCCTCAAAATGCCGTTGGTTTTCCTGTTTCACTGATTTCCTGAGAATACAAGTAGTTTTAAAAAAGTGTCAACAATTAAGTTGGTGAGTTCATAAGAGTTTTGTTTGAGAAAGAAACTGTTTTCCTTGTAAAAGCGACAAAGTATGTTTCCAGAAAATCCAATATTTTCTTTATTAAGTGAAATGAATGCTTCTATGTTATGCGATAATGAACCCTAGAAAGGCCCATAGATTTCCTTCTATAATCGCCCAGTGTATATAAGTTATATAAAATTTAAGTTAAATAAACCGTCGAATATAATGGGTCTGCCCTAGGTCCACAACCAAACAAGGAACAGGAAGTAAGGCGGGCCCACCAATTCTAAGTCGATTATGACTAGATTCTTATATAACTCTAGCATATATACTTAGCAATTATAGCTGAAGTCTAACAATTCTAGATGAAATATAGTTTTAACAGAGATATGATTCCAAAGAAAATCCTATATTTTCCTTATAAAAGTTATGTGGTCCTAAATCCTAGGACCAGAAATAAACAAGTATTTTCCATACTTAAAGATATAAAAGTGGTTTTAAATCGGCATAAACTCGTTTACTTTAGAAGTAAAACCCCTTTTTAAAGTAGAAGTTTCTATGTAAACTTGAAAGATTGTTAACTACCTATGTGAGTCGCTATAACCATACTATGACGAAAAATAACCTGCACAACGTTTTTCAGACGTTAAGATACTATGACTCTTGTCACCCGTAGACCTGTAGGTCCTACTGTAGCTAGCAGCAAGGTGTGGGGTGTCAAACCCAATATAGATCTATACACAATTATCACGCTCTCCCTACAAGAGACTCTGGTTATAACTTACAGGAATTGGGATCCCGTACTCGAACGTACGGGGAGAGAATTGCCTCACAACCTAAGTTAACTAGTTTACACATAGTTTGATATTAAAACCTCTTCCGTGGAGGAAGTGAAATCACCTTTTATGAAAATACGTTAGTGATATGAAATCCTTAAACTATTACTATGATAGTTTATTACGTAAGATATGAAAAACTCATTTGTTTTGAGAGTAAAACCTTTTTCATGTAGTAAAAATCCATAAACTATGCTTATTGAAGTTTATTATATGTATTCGAAATGAATCAGTAAACCTTATCATGAATGAATAAATTTCAGTTTAAGATGATAAACTAACAAGAAAATACATTCAATATTTAGAACTTATTGTTATACACTTTGCTCAACATAATACAAAGTGTTATGAAAGTTATAAGCTGTTAACTAGTTTTTAACCTTTCAGCACTGTTTTAGAAAAAATCATAGAAAAATCATACGAAGTCGAAAACTGAATCCGTAAATTCTGAGAGTTCACAAAATGTGTCTAGTTTGTTCATAATTTTTATTGTGATTTTTGGAAGTCTTTAACTTGTGTTAAAATGTTCATATTTACAGACTGGTCCGAATTCATTTTTGAAATGATAGGAAGTTTTGTAAAAATCACCATAAATCGTAGAACAATCGTATGGTGATGTGCAAGTAGTCATTTTAAAGGTATGAACCTGAACTATTTGCACCTAATACAGTTTTGAAAACTAAAATGTTTAAGTTGACCAAAACAGTCCGTGAATGGAGTTGAACTTTTCTGATGAAGGCTGTTAAATGTATTTAGTTGTGTTCTTGGTGTTTAATCTTGTATTCCCCCCTTAAAACTTAAGAAAAACATGAAAAGATAGGGGTATGAACTCACCTTATGTGTTCTTAGAGGATGGATGTTGGAGAAGAGAAGTGTTCAACTCAAGAACACTTAGAAGATGCCTTGATGAACCGAGAACCTAACATGAAGGTGACGATGTTTGTGTAAGATTCCTATGATTTTGAGTAGAAGGATGTGAAATAATCATAAGAAGAATGAATTATACTTACCAAGAGTGGAAGAAAGCTTGATGATCAGCCTTGGAAGTCTCGAAATTGAGAGAGAATGGTGAGAGAATTTGGAGTGTGATCCTTGGAGGAAAAATGAGAGAATGAAGGAAGTGTGAGGAGAGAGGGTGGGTTGTCCAGCTCTTAGGACGTGAGAATGGCTGGAGATTGATGGAAAAGTACAAGGAAGTGACTAGGTATGGTGGGGAGGGGTGTGGGTTGGTCATGGAGTGGGTATGGGTGGTTGCTTGTGTCATAAATCAAAGAAAAGTCAACACTCCACCTCAAGATCTTACTTAATAGATTTTATTCTTAATTAAGGATTTCCCTAAAAATATGCTGAATTTATGAATATATGGGGTCTTATATGTCAAAATATAAGTTTTGGTGAAAATCCCTCGTTAAAATAATTAAAAACGGGCTTAAAACGGAGTCGTGGTCGAAAAACCGGGTGGGTGGAAAATGGGAAATCCGAAGTCAGGAGGGTGATTCCGGTCTTAACAGCCTTAGGTCCGAAGTGGTGGTTTGGTCGCTGAAGTGGATCCGAAGGGGAAGGGGGCTGCGGTCCGAGCAGGTACCGCAGGCGGGTTCGTCAGGAGAAGCTCGGATGCGGCGCTCCAGGTCCGATGGCTGCGGTTGGATGGCTGCGGCTCGCTGGCTGTGGCTAGATGGTTGCGGCTCGGTGTCTGCGGCTCGGTGGCTACGGCTAGATGGCTGCGGCTACTTAAGGAGACTCCGTTCAAGGAGGGTTTGGTCCCTATAGAGGAACTTCGGCCCTAAGAGGCTATTTTCCAAGGTATATTCCCG